CCGTGTGCAAGCAGCGCCAGGTCAGCGCAAGCTTTGAGGGACGTGAGGAACGTGAGGAAATCCGGGCACGGACCTTCCCGGTGAATTTGACGGAGAAGGGTCAACGCGCGAGACGGGTCACCATTTTTCACGAGGCAATTCATAATCGTGTTCCAGGAGATAATGTCTCGATCAACCATTTTCATGAAGATTAACAAAGCAGAGTTTGTGAGTCCGTTTTTCGCGTACATATTGATGAGCGAATTTTCCACAACGGTACATGGGAGAAAACCGTGTTTGATGAGGAACCCGTGAATCTCTTCCCCTAGCTTCAATTCTCCATAAATCCCACAACCCTGCAGAAGGTTCGCCATGGTTTCAACACAGGGATACCGACCATCTTTATTAAAAGAAAATCGGCAAAAGGTATTCACGCTTTCGAATAAGTACTCGTTGACAGAGTACATCTCCATAAGCGAATTCAACACCAAAGAATTCACACACCAATTTCCTTTCACGACCAACCCATGAACCCACCGCATAATTTCAAAGCTGCCAATAACCGAGCACGCCTTCAGAACGGCCACCATCGTAACATCATTAGGCGAAACTCCGTATTCAAGCATGCGACAGAACAATTCCACCGCCCGTTCAGCTTTATTCCCACGTGATGACACCCAACCGGAAATAACCGAAGTCCACGAGACCACGTCCCGTTTAGCCATCCCCAGCACGAGTTTTTCCGCCCCAGCCAACATCCCTGACTTAACGAACGCGTCTACCAACGAATTCTGCAGGAACCCGTCTGCTAAAAAACCCGTTTTCACCACACGACACTGAACAATCTCAACTAAATCCCCATCACATCTCAAAGCGCATGCCTGTAAGAGCACGGCAAGTGTGAACTCGTTCGGCTGTACATTTTCGCACTCGAGCATTCGCGAAAACAGTAGAATCGTCTCGTGGGGAAGCCCGTGTCGGTTGTAGGCCGACATGATGGAAGTCCACGAGACAACAGTCCTTTGGGGCATATAATCGAACACGTTGCGGGCATCATCCAACCTGTCAATCTTAGAGTACATATCGATGAGGGAGTTGCCGATAAAGACGTCGGCGTCGAGGCCGGACTTGACCATGCGAGCGTGAGCAGAAGGGCCCGTTTTGGCGTCCTCGGGCTTGGCGGCGGCGCATGCACGCAGCGTGAGGAGTGCATGGGAGAAGGGGTTTTCAGGTGGGGAGAAGCTAAATGTGGAGTCGAGTTGTGATTTGGGAATGTTAGGGGAAGTTAATGTGAGAGGAGGAGAATGTAAACATTGCATTTCTTTTTCGGGCTTTCGGGCCTTTTCCTGCGTTTCAAATGCAAATTATCCAGTGACTGTTGGTTAATGTATTTATTTTAGAGTAAAATGTTTACCAATCCAAACATTTTAGTCGTTTTTTATTTTCGTCCCGTATGTTTGAAAAAATATTACAAAAAGGTCATTTTTATACATAAAGAATGAAATTGGAACACATTTTTGCAAAACATTTGTTGCGAAAAGGATCTTTCTGTAACATTTTCTCAAATATACGGAACAAAAATCAAAAACACAATTCGAAATAGAACTAAAATGTTTAAAAGGGTAAACAAAAATGCATTTTACTCTTTATTTTATGGATAAAAATGAAAAGCCTGAGAAAAAGAAGTCAAAATTGTCTCCCCAACGTTTGAACATGTGATTCAGCAGGCAAATTGTATTATCATGGATATGGATTCGTAATTTACTTGTATATTTTTTATTTATTTTATCTATTTGATTTGATCGTCATAGATATGATAATTTTCATCAAACTAATATTGCGGAGAATTACAAATTTCTGATAAAATGCATAATTAATCACTTAGACAACCGAGCAAAATTTAATTTCTCATAAAGTTGTCAGCAAAATTAATTATAAATGTCACATAGGATTCGCGTAATGCATATTAATTATCTATATCCTTGTGTTGATATGTGACATTATTAACTACAAATGCCTTTTTCTCTTAAGAAAAAGAGAGCGAAAAACATTGTGTCAATATATATTTTTCATCAAATATGCATATTAAGTTAAAATGTTATAACTTAATAAATAATATAAATAAAAACGTGACATGTTACAACATATATAAACATGTCAATTTGTTAGGCAACGCGCGATTGGTCGAGCCGCCTAACAATTACACTCTCTCATTTTTTTATACTAAAAAAAAAAAAAAAAAAATCTTCACCATTTCTTGAGAATGTGGTTACCTTGTAATTAGTATCTCTAGAATATGAAATTGGAGATAAAAATAAAATAAAATAACTTACTTTTCAAGTGCTAATCCCCATTTATATATATGTATATATTTTGTTGGAAAAATAAGCTAATTAGCTTGCATCAAGTGGGGTGTTAAGTCCACTGTGAACAAGTTAAAGATGCACCTTTTGATGGCAAAGTACTATTTGCAACTAATCAAAAGATAATTTGAGTCCATTGTGACATGCTAACCACTCCATGATAAGACCCAAATATACATTTGGGAGTCCACAAGTGTCTTTGCAAACCTTACCACTAATAAAAATACTTATTATTCTTAAACATGACCAAAAATCACTTAAGGGTTATAGCCAACTAGCTCTTCTTTTCCATAGTAATTTATTATCCTAAACTTAATTATTTAAAGAAAATAAATAGTTCAAATTATTTTACCCTACTTCACTTGATATATATTTTTTTAATTAGAGTGGATAGTATTTTAGACTGAGATTCCTTACCAAAATAAAATTACACATCTAGGGAAAAGTATAGGGATATTAGAAAGAAAAATTACAACAAATTCTAGAATATAAGAAATATATATATATATAATGATTGTGCCCATTAGATAGAACTAATCATGGGAGAACTCATTTCATAGAAACCAAATTTAGTTTAAAAACGGGTCTAGTTTTAGAGTGAGATGTACTTTTATATAACTATTGATTATTTTATTATTGCTACTATATTAGAATGGTATAAGACTAGAGTTATATGTTTAGGCTCGTTCTTAGTTTTGCTAACTCTTATTTTATATCTACAAATCGAAAGCTGGTTTAGTGGTATATAAGACCAGAGTTATAGCCCTGGATAAAATTGTTGTATCTAGGACAGCTATAATAACAACTAGTAAAAATTTATAGCTCACAGTATTCCAAGATTTATGTTTAGGCTCGTTCTTATAAGTTTTGCTGATATCTACAATTCCAAATATGGTTCAGTGTCAGTTATCCTCTAGCTCATGTTAATTTAGTTTGTATTAAAATATTTGTAGTGGTCAAATATAATTTTAAATATTTAGTAATTTGTATTAAAACATTTTTTATTAAATTATTGTTGAAAATTGATACTACCTCCTGTTCATTATAAATGTCGTTTTGACTTTTGTGATTCATCCATTTTATTATGTATCTAGACATTAATATGTCTAGATACATAACAAAATGGATGAATCAAAAAAGTCAAAACGACATTTATAATGAATAGGAGGGAGTATATTTTAAGTTATTATGATTAGTAGTTAGTGTTGCTGGTGAGATTTTGAACATATATTGAAATAATATTTAAAATAAGATAATTCAAGTTGATTTGATGTAAAAGTAGAAGAGATATGACGTGGAATGATAATTAAATAAAATTATGTGACTGAATGAATCGTAAATAAAAGTTGTCATATATAAGTGTATAAACCTCTACCCACGCGTGTCCGTTATGTTAATCAATAATACTACGTAGGAAGACAACCATGCATCACTTAATGTTATGAGATTTGCAAATTTAATATAAGCAAAAATAAAACAAAC